TGCATTGATAGCCTTGGCTGCAGCAAGCCAACCTCCATCGCCACAAAACAAGCCTTTCCACCCCTGAATTTAGACTTTATTAGCCGCTGGCCCTTCAAGGTTGTGTACGGGTGAAATTTACCTTTACCTGCTCTCTTGTAAAGACTGGCATCTTTTCAAGTATATCATCTTCGCTTTCTAACAACCAGTTCGTTTTCTCTAACCCAATGTTCGCGTCGAGCATTGATTGGTAGCTTTTTCGAAGATCTGCAATACCGTCTTTGGATGACGAGCAGTCAATCTGAATGTGTTAGTATGGAATGTTGAATCTCCAATGGCTATTTTTCTAACTCACCCTGCCGACATTGTGAAAGAAGGGCTTGAATAGTGGATCATTTTTCCACATGTCAAGAGCCTCGAGCGAAAGTTGCAGATCTGGCCCATTGCGCAATCGGATGCCCATGATCTTGTTAAGATCGTATCCTGCCGATTGAGCCGAAGGAATGGGATATACATCAAGCACTGTGATATTCGAGGGAGTATACCCAGAGCGGATGAGGTGCAACGCTGTTGAGGAACCCATGGTGCCGCCTCCCCCAACCACCACGACTTTCGTGGTTGTACGCGAATACGCCATTTTTCGGGTCATTTCGGTGCGAAAACCAGAATGAGGGAAAACAGGATGTGAGTTTAAGAAGTTGAATGGCACCAATTGCTAAGAAACTTGCTAAAGCGATTAGATAATCCCCATCTATATAACATCGCGTGGACCTTCCATCGATTACCCCGATGGCCAGAATCCGGCCTTGGCAAATGCGGGGAATTACCAAATTGGCGATAACGAGATAGCCTTTTGCGGTTATCGGCCCCGGCTTTCGTTCCGTTATCATTTGATATCGGCTCACTGGAAGTCCATATAAAGATTACGCCGCCATGAATGCGCGTACTTTCGCGTGGACCTTCACCCGGCTTGATATGACCCGAATGGAACTTGATTGACCCCGAAGCTAGAGGGGAACATCCATGTCTCTGCGGGTAGAAGAGATAAGCTCACATATAAAAAGCAACTAGGTCCTGCAATCAATGTCGGGGGAATAAATCAACACGCATGGAAAGCGAAATTCTGTTGACATCAAAGACCCCGAAAGCCCTGTCATGGCACAACCTATCATAATGGCCGACACAAAGACTCCTGTCTCGGATTCGCACGATGCTCCTTCTATCGCAGATAATGCCATCCGCCATGGTGCTGTGATTGACATGCAGCACTACAAGGACACCGTTCCGCTGTGGAAGCGAGTATGGCAGCATAGTCTGACACAGATGATGCTGTTGAGCATCCAAGCATTCTGTGGACCAGCAATGGCTGATGCAATTACCGGTAAGACTGATTCACCATTATACGCTAGGCTACAGAATGGCCTGGACCTTTCGCTAATGTTTTGCAGGCCTCGGTGGCGGTGGTCTTGCCTCTACTCGGGTGTCAAATATCTCGACCTCAATTAGATATGCCACGCTGGCAGTCGGTATGTTTCATTGCCCAACATGAGTATTTAGATACTAATTTGAATAGTCTGCTGCATCGGAGGTCCTCTTGTGAACAAAATCGGCATCAAGTGGGCTCTTATTCTCGGCTCAATGTCCTTCCCAATCCAAGGCTCGGCATACTACTGCAACAGCAAATTTGGAAACGAATGGGTGAGCGATGGCAATGACAATGGAAACGACAAGAAATGTGACTGCATGATCTAACAAGTCTCTCCTAGTACCTCATCCTGAGCGGTGCTATCAGCGGTATCGGGACTGCTTGCTGGTATGTCGCTGAAGCTGGAGCCATCATGACGCTTGCCCCCTCCGGCGCCCGTGGGAAGTATCTGGCTCTGTGGATCGTTTCGCGAAATCTTGGACAATTGGTCGGCGGTGCAATCAAGTGGGTAATGCCTCAGTCAAAGACTCGAATGGGAAATTTGGACTAATACTTTCGCTCTATGTAGCCTATCTAAGAACTTCGAAAAAGGCGTCAGTGGCGGAGTCACTTCCGATACGTTTATTGCCTTTGTGATCATTGAGTGTCTTGCGTGGGTTCTTATAAGAGAGAATTGCCTGCAACCTTATGCTTATGATGTTTAATAGGCTACCATTCGCGCTGTTGATCACACCCTTCGAACGCGTTGTCCGGTCTGACGGTACAAAGATTGTCACTTCGGAAACTCTTTCCACCAAGATGGAATTCAAGTATATTGCAAAGACCCTGAGCTCGAAACTTATTATTCTTTCTGCACCCTGGGCACTTTGGTCATTTTTCTACGGGTAAGCCCGACAGTCACTGCCTATCACCATCAAAAGCGATAATGCTAATATTCGAAAGTGGTACTTGGTCTACATATCTAGGAACCTATTTCACCGTCCGTGCTCGCGCTCTCTCGTCACTCATCTCGCCTTTCTTTTGCATGTAAGTCATGCGAAATCATATCATCAACACCAACTAACCTTGGTGCGTATCAGCATTGGCTGTTTCGGCCTCGGATTCATTCTCGATATGAAGGGTTTCAGCCAGCGCCGTCGTGCCCAGATCGGCCTCTACACTGTCATCATCCTCAATGTCGGCGTCTATATGTGGTCCATTATTATGCAGGTCAAGTTCAACCACAATAAGCCCGGCGCCATCGATTGGGACGATGGACTGTACGCTTCGTCGTTCCTACCATATTTCTTCGTGCAGACGACCGGTCCGCTGTCCCAGTCGTATATGTATTGGCTTTTGTCTTCCTTCGCCACCGACTCGCAGGGTAAGTGACTCCATAGACTCGGACCCGAGTCCATCACGGCATTGGACGCTAATGGCAATTTCAGAAAATGTCCGCAATGGTGCCGCATTCAGATGCATTGAAGCTGTTGGCCAAGCTATTGCCTATGGCATGAACACCCAGATTAAAACTAATCCTCTGATTGGATTGTAAGTTCAATCATCTGAATTCGTCCCTTTTGACAAAAAGCCAACTGACCTGATTCAAGCTGCGTGACGTTCGCCCTACTCGGAGCCTCTGTAATCCCCATGATTCTGCTTGTCAACACGACACCGGACCGTATCCCTGCAGATTTAGTTGCCGAGGAGCAGGATGCTGCTCTTGAGAAGATTCGAGATGTCTAAGTCTGTTTGCATGGCGGGGTTGAAAGCAGCTTACGCCTTTCAATTACCAAGCTTGCTAAGCGGAATGATATAAGGAGTCTTATTTGCCCCTACTTGGATTATCTATATTTTGTTTATTTAATCTGGATCTAATGGTTAACAATTTTGCTTACTTGAAACTACTCCTTTCCGTACTATTGTAACGTTTTGCATTCGTTTCGTAACGCGCGATCAGACCATTCAATTTGTTAAGTTGAGCATTAATCAAAAACCCCTTATCATCAAGCTGAAACCAAAGAATGTTCTCCATCAAATCGAAATGAAAGACAGGTGCTTCTCGTGAACATAAAAGTCGAAAGGACATAAGAAATGAATAGCCAAAAGAATGAGGGTAAACAAGATAAAACACACTCGCATCCATCTCACAACGAACCAATCCATAGAAATGTTCATTCGGGCAAAGCTTCGCCAAGCCCTAAATTCCCCAGCCAACCACGCGCATTGACCTCAACGGTACTGTACGCGCTCGTAGGTGTACTCAACTACTTGGCGGGAGTACTCGACATCCTGGTAGTAGACCTCATCACCCTCGTAGAAGACCTCATCACCCTCATAGAACTCATCATACTCCTCGTGGAAGAACGCCTCGTCTTCGTAGTAGTCATCATCCTCTTCGTAGGCCACTGAACGTATGACTCCTAGCATGCGTCCCGGTCCTAGTCTGTCGAGGTGTCTCTCGATGACTCTGTCCCTTTGGATCACTCTTCTCTCGCCTCTGTTGAACCAGTAATCGAGCAGTATGAGAAGTAGCAGATACCAGACTTCGTCAACTGAAGGCTTGAAGCTGGAGATGGGACCGATGAATTCAGAACCGCCGTTCCAGGTCAGGTGTTCTCGGAAGTTGAAGTTGCGGGACCTGACTGGTTCACTTTCACGGCGTCTGGGAAAACGCACGAAATCTTCGAAGATGAATAGGATATGACAGAGGTTTGAGGCATAATAGTCGCATATCTCGAAGTGCGCGTGCCAGAATGAGGTACCACGGGGGTAGACCTTTTTGCAGATAGTGACAATGCACATGTTGATGTTGAGGATTGGGATTGTAGAAGTTGAGCTTGGAAGAAGGTATGTTTGAATAGAGTGGGAATATCGAAGCTGGGAAAGAAGGGCTTTAATCTTGATGGCTGCTTAAGAAAGGGGAGGACTTGACCGGGTATTTAAGCACTTCATCACAGCCATATAGTATCATCTTTATGCTTTTCTACAATCAGGCAACATACATCAAGCTTAGATATGATTATAACCAGTATTTCCCGAGACCTTCATGGCCAATAGATATTATGACTCGACATTTTGAGGCGGCCAGTAGGTAGGCAGTGTATACTTCCTTGCTCTTTATAACGTCAAGTTATATGCCATAGAGGGATTCCACGTATGACTTTGCTTGATTTTGGGATGGCAGCCCATCATAATCTCATAGTATAGTGTGATAATTGCTGCATAGTGGCTTTGGCTCCATCCTAAGAGCTTCAATATTCAACCTGATTATAGTAATGTGTATTGCTATTATTTCCTTGTTCTTTCTACTATTTTCAACGAAATTTCTTAGATCAGAGCCTCTTTGTCGCTACCTACCATGTTTGCATGTTTGCATTCTATATGCCTCATTTGCATCATTTGCATTCGTGAAGACCATTCACCATAAGGTAGTCTCTTAGAGGGGGAGAATAACGCGGGCTTCGTCAATCACCTGTTAAGAGCACACAATGTTTACTTACACTCTTGCATCCTTGCATCCTTGCACTCTTGCACCGCTGGATCAAAAAGAAATTCTTTCCATCTGTTTCAAAGGTGGTACTCTTGATGTTCACAGGTCCACGTCACTCTCATCATGATAATGAGTCTAGCTACTAGTCAACACGAGGCTGACCAAGCCGAGGCCAGACAAGGTGAGGCAGATCAGAAAGTGACAACGTTGACATGACAGCTAACCAACCAGCTCTAGAGCAATCCCTGATCTTATGTCAAGGACCCGGTATCAATATTAGCATCCAGGCCTTTGACCTGCGCCACTGCTCTCTTGACGGGCCCAGCGACTCCCCAGGAGGCCACCAATCACCCTCGGCATCTCTTGGTAGGGGCGCCAACCATGCCAGCGATGACACAGATTCTCACTCGTCCACTGAACAGTGCAGCGAGAACGAATCATCTGAAAACGCGTTAGTCTCACCTCAAACACCTTTGAGACAAATGATCCCAACATGGATCTCGAGCCTCATTTCAGTCTCACCCCGACTAACCATTGATGGAAGTCCTTCTCGGCCTCCAAGGTCGCCCAGAATGTCCGACCCCTGGGATATCTACAAGTCAGATACTGCTGTCGCCAATTACCGCGCGATCGGGGCCCAATACCAAGCATGGATAGCCGACACAGCCACAACCCCATGCCCAATCCGCCTATCAACACTCACCATGGCAGACATAGTCGAAAACCCGCACGAGGAGTACAGGTTCGAGGTATGCCGCAACGAGTTCAGATCCCCACCCGATGAAGTGGGGGACCTCGAATCGGTCGGGCTCTCGATGGCAAATACTTGGCGCCTCCTTTTCCTGAGGCGATATGGATCCTGGGATGACGATAGCCGAGAGGGCTGGACGGCTTACCAGCACCGCACCGCACACGGCGCGATCTTCGCTGAGAACATCACAAGACACTTCGGACCTTACTGGTCCCAGATCGCTCTGGCGCAGTACGCGTACGACCATCACATCGACACCCTCCGACATGTTTATGTAGTCAACATTCAGAATTTGTACACCTGGCCTTACGTGGAATCCTGTCTTTACCCCCGTCATGGCTTGCAATGGTACGATGACGATCAATACCAGTGCTGGGAATACGGTACCAGGGAGTATCAGGAGCTCCTGGGTACCAAGCTGGGAAGGGGGGTGGCGCGTCTGGTTCTGAGCGCTTGGCCGAGAGGCACTCACCGTATCGAGGCAATCATCACGTGGACGTATGTTGGGACCTTGCAGATGCGGTTTGATATCGAGCGAATTTGATTCATGGCCGAGGGGCACCCACTGTATCGAGGTAATCTGCACGTGGACGTTTGCTGGGACCTTGTAGATTCGATTTGATATTGAGCGAATTTGATTTGTGACTTCGAGCTCCGTGAAGCAAAAGAGCGCTTTGATCCAATGTAGAGCGAATCGTATGAAGAGGAGAAGCGCTAGCCTCTCCTGGCAGTTTCGGCAGAACTTAGAGTAAGAGATCGATTGGCTATGACAGGGAATGGCCTCATAGTAGCCAATCAGATGCCGGGTGTGTTGTAAATTTTGAAACTCTATATAGTATGTAGTATAGGTAGTAAGGCGTAGGAGACATCAGTTGACAATGGTGCCTAATCAATGGACAAGCAGAATCTGTCGATCTCAACACTATTGTGACAGATATATAGTGCGTCTGGATTGTTTCTGAGTTGGCATCCTATCAACCCCAAGCACTATGCTCCGGTGTCATATTCACACCAACATGGGCATAATAGAACTTGATATGAATATCCACGGTAGCCAGCAGTTTTGACTGCGCCGCATTTCACGTTCTCACTCAGCTTCACCATAGTGCTATATTACATGTAAATATTAAGAATCACAACGTATATTCCGGGTACTGCGGGTAGACACAATATTCAAAAGGTCAAAGACATGATTCATTCCCAAATAGGAAAGAGATTTCATCCAGTCCTCTGCCGACAAAAACACGACGATTTAATAGGCACATCCGCCCAGGCTAAATCAGCCTTCAGTCGCGGCAGCATGGCACGCGCCTCGTATTTCTGACCCATCTTGACCAAACACTCATGATACCCATGCGAAGCCCATACATTCGCCGGATGCCTCAAAGCACGGGGCAGAGATCTGTCAACCCCAAGGTCCGCAGCATATACGGCTGCAGCCTCCTCGACGCGATCCTGTTCGAGCAACAACGCCCCAAGTGCGTGTCTAGCCGGCTGCATCCAGCCCCACGGCTCGTCATACGGCAACGAATCATCTCTCCTCACAGCTTCCCGGAGATATGAAAAGGCAGTATCGTATTCGCCCCGGCGATATGCAATTTCGCCATCCAACATCGCCTCACCGACACGGAGGATGTCGACGCAGCGGTTATTGAAGATCGTCCGCGAAGCCGGGACAAGCTTCATCGCTCCCAGAAACCGTTCTCGCTCTTCCTCTGCTTCCACAACACGACTGGTAGCAGCGAACGCGATCCCCTTTGCATAGTGCATCATAGCAGTGGTGACGCAGTACAGCTCTGCATCCTCCGGCAGTTCTGCACCAATAATATCCTCCCAGCGGCCGAAGCGCACAAATACATGCATTTGCACGGAGACAAAACCCTCCAGCCAGTCCGCCATCGGCGGCGACTGGATGCGGAGGAGAGGCTCGGTGATTATCCGGGCGAGCTCGGCCCCAGACTCAAGCGCAACCTTCGATCGACCGCCCAGCATAGCAGCATAAATCCTGAAGTGATAATCATGCGCACGGTAAAGATTATAAAAATGGCCCAGGGGCTGGTTGGCGAGGAACTTCTCGTCTGCGCAGATTGCAGAAGTATTAGCCGCCACTGCGTTTTTGTAACTGCCACACAGGACGTCAATATGGGACGACATGTGCTCCAGATGACCAGCGTCTGGTACAAGGCCGCGAAGAGAGTTGGATTTCGGCAGGGCAATTTCAGGAATGGGCGACATTTCCATCAAATGGATGTAGAGATGCAGGACGCCGGGATGATCATAGGAGTCGGCTTGCTTGAAGACTCGATTCAGTGCCTTTTCCGCTTCCAGTGTTTTCGCACCTGGCGCTACCTCGTCGGTTTTCACGTCCCACAGACCCCATGGAGTCAGGTTCATCAGCGCATCGCAGTACAGCGCGGTCACGTCGAGGTCATCCGGGTAATCATTGTACACTGATGTCATTGCCTCGGCATAGTTCTTATCCCATTCCGTGCAGTCTTCTATGGGCTGTTCTTGGGGATACCGGTGCTGCAGTGCATCGATAAGAGCATTCTCCAACGGCGTCGCGGTGGGAGCGTGCTTCTTGGCCTCTAGGATCGCGCGATGGGCGCGGCTCGTGGTGGCGGACAGATCTTCTCCGTCAAAGAGCTGCCATGGCTTGTTATAGTTCGGCCCCAGGGCAAAGGCAATGCCCCAGTATCCCATGACGCACGTCCGGTCGAATTCGACGACCTTTTCGAAGCATCGGATGGATTCTGCGTGGTTGAAGGCGTAGGCCCAGATCAAGCCCCGACTAAACCATAGTTGGGCATCTTCGTTTGTTGCGCTCACATTGCGACGGTAGTCGCCTAAGTTATAGTAGTCCTCGGCGGGAGATGGCTGGTCCATTTTATTGATGTGGTTGCGTATGTTGTGGCGGAGGAGGGGTATGGTTGCCCAACACGGCTCTCGCCCAGACTCATATCTAACCACTTTGACCACATGTGACACGGGGATAAGCGCCCATAGCGAATGAAGTATATACTGGGTTATTTATAAATACTCGCAGCTGAGTAAAGTGCCTGAGGCAGTATATCCCAAGGCAACAAGGCAACAAGGCAGTAAGGCATCAATCTGCCCCACATGAGCAGATTTGAGGAAATCCACTTTAATGTGCTCAGTCATGCTCGATCACTCTCACCTTCCAAGGTTGAGCACCTTGGGGGCCTACTGGGAATCCTATTTAGATAGCCTCCTTTCATCTCTCTTGTATTTGTTACCTACAGTCAATATAGTCACATACATATCAATCCTCTTCCATCCCATCTCATTCCATCTCATTTCAACATCTTTACTTTTATAGATCACCATGTGTGGAGACACCAACCGCCCAACATTCGGAGGCACCATTGCCGTCCTATTCCCCCGAGGCACTCACCAGAGCTCGAACACTTCAGATAGATCATTGTCCTCGTCACCAGAATCAGTATCCTCATTTGCATCATCATCGTCGATTGCCTCGATGTCATCATACTCTCTTTTCTTCCGCGACACGGATGCAACAACGCCCAAGACAAGAGCAATCTTCCGGACACAAGACGCAGAGACATATCACGCACTCAAAGAATGTCGAAATGTCGATATGCGCATTGAGTGAGTTGACTCTGTCCCACGAGTCATTCAACGGATAAAAATGCTGACAGTTCATATCAGGAAATTCGGCGATCTCTCTATTACATCACAATCCATCTCTCCGCTCCATCAGTTCCGTTTGAATATGGGACAGGACAAGAACTGCAACACGGCGAATCCGATGGAGATCGAGTTCGAGCTGCCCGAAAGGCTGGACCTGGGCGTCTCGGACAAGGGTGTCATTGGCCGACAGGTGACTGTCAGAGAGCAGGGGGGTTCGATCCTGGGGATTGGAGTGGTGGGTTACAACTAAAGTGACGGGCTTCTACAATCTACAAACATACTTCATAGACATAATTGGAATCATAAATCATTTGAGTACCTGATCATTGAAACTAAATGAAACTCAGAACTTTAGTTCATTATAGACTTCACAGCTTCAACAGGTTCTCCACGCCAGCATTGTATCGCTTCTCTGCCTCAGCCCAGTGAATAATCTTCCAAATACCATCAACATAGCCAGCCTTGTTGTTCAGGTACTACAAGCAAGCAGATTAGCAGACAAATACACACAAGACGGGTAGAGCATGAGAATAAACATACCTGGAGATAGTAGGCATGCTCCCACATATCGACACCAAAGACAGGCACATCAGGTGCATTAATAGGATCCTGATCCTTAGTCGTAACAATCTCAAGCTGACCCTTGGCACCACCCTTGCTCACAAGCCATCCCCATCCACTCCCCTGAAGACCGAGCAGCTCCGCACCAAAAGCCTTAACAAACGCTTCATGCGAGCCCCAGCGAGAGGCGATGGCCTCGCTCAGAGCGGGGGCGCCGCCGAGGTCATTCCCAGGAGTGCCGGGAGGAGTCAGGTTCTTCCAGAACAGGGAGTGGTTGATGTGGCCACCGCCGTTGAAGCGGAGTTTCTGTTGCAATGCGATCAAGGTTGGGACATCATCTGCTGAAGCTGCTGAGGCTTGAGCGGAGAGTGCTGCGTTAAGGTTGTTGACGTATGCCTGGTGGTGCTTCTGGTGGTGCAGCTCCATTATCTGCTTGGAGATGACGGGCTCCAACGCCTGTTTATTGTTAGCATGGAAGAGATTCGAGATTCATGATCGGGTGGTTCTTACATCGTAGGCGTAGGGGAGAGCAGGTAGAGTGTGAGACATTGTGGAATTGTAGATTATGTGTGTGTTGAGTGTAGAGAAGAGTGAGAATGGAGAGTAGAAATGTAGGCGATAGATAAACCACCAAGGTCCCTGTGGATGCCCCTCTCTAGAAGTGACGTGATAGTAAGCATATGTCAAGACCTCGGGAGGCCACCAAGGTGGATACCCACCGGTGGATGGGGACGGCAATTGGGATGAGTTGGATTGAGCACATTTCTCTCAAAGTTGCTCTAACCTGCTCAGTTGGCCCTCGCAGAGTATTCCCGGAATTACATAAAGCAGGTCTAATCCACCACCTGGTATCTGTGTTATCTCATACAATGATCTTCCTCGTTTACAAAGAGAGACAGAGGAACTAGCCGGGGAAACTGGGTCTCTATGCTCAAAGTGGCCTTGAACAAAGATATCATTTACACTAAACAGAAATAGAGTCAAGGTTGGACAGCATGCATTGTAGAACAGTCAACAGTATACAGAAAGACAGATAAGAATGAAGCATAAAGAAAATGATAGGCCAGCAAGATGTGGAACCTGAAGGAACCTTAAACAAAGTGTCCTCAGAAAAATCTTCACAAGACAACAGAGAGCTATCTCTGTGATAGGTTCCAAAAATTGGGTCGGAGATGAAACAGAGCTCCTAATGAACAATGCAATGCGGGCAGCAGCTGGACAGTCTGTTTCCACAGAGGTCAGTCGGAGTACGTGACTGGTAGAGCATTGTTACCTCCTCAGACGTGCTTCGTGCCACAACCTAACCTGATACCCACAAGACAGAGCTCGAGATGGTCGATGCAAGCAGCAGCTGGACAGTCCGTATCCACAGAGGTCAGTCGGAGTACGTGACTGGTAGAGCATTGTTACCTCCTCAAACATGTTTCGTGCCACAACCTAACCTGATACTTGCAAAGACCATGGTAAAAAAAATTAAGACCACTCCAGGAACGAGGTGTAGTGCGGACCCAGAGTGGTGTGAAGAAGAAAGAAAAAAGGATGGAAGTGGGAGGGGGCAGGGGGGTATTTATACCTTCCCAGTGGCTTAAGGCAAACGGGTAGTTGGGTTGTTGACGATTTTTCCCAAAAGGGAAGGCACCGAATCGGGAAGGTTCCCAGCCACCCAGCCACCTGCGCACCAGGTACTATTCCTATTTGGGTCAATCCACGGTCATGACACCTGAGACTTGATAGAACAGTACCTTCACGCACATATTACCTTAAAATTGGAGAATCTTGGCCGTTTCGCATGCGCGAAAGAGTCTGTAATTGTTAGATCATGATTCTATTCAAACGAAGACTCAATCGACTACTATCTTAACTTCAATATTTGTTCCAGAATCATATTCAATATCATTTGCATCTAGCTACTCAGACAGCCTCCATAAACTGCAGCTATTCTGCATAATCGTCATGTTTACCATCCAGCGCTGTTGAGGGACCTCGTCTTTCGTAGAAAGGCCAAAGTGCCCATGAAAGAATCCAGCATACTCCTAGTCAATAACAGCCTTTATTTTCAGTGTTTGAGGATCGACAATGATATTATACTGAGCAAGATCATTCCTCACTTGATAGGGCTGAAACAATCCCCGAAAGGCCAACAATAGTGTCCGATTTGATCTGACGAAGGGTGGCTAGGTATTGCTGTACTTCAGTGCGGACGACATGTTTTTGATCATCCGATAATCCCTCGTTTCTTATAGAGTATGGCTGATATCACAAGAGCAACTCTGAATATATTCACTTTCTCACCAATCTCAAGGTGGTTTGTTTACATCAAATTCTATCGACCAACGACTTCGCCAGGTCTTTGAAAATCGTTCGGATCTGCAATCCTGTTTGTTCTAGAATCCACTAGGTTCTTCTAGTTCTCGATAATATTCCTAGGTCCTCCTCCCCTTCCCGCCGGCTTTGGGAACAGCTCTGGGAAATTAGCCCGCCGCCAGTTTTCCAGTCTCTTAAACTGCAGCTGCCGTGGCGTTTCGCCTCGTACATTGGGCTGATCCATCACAATATCACCCCCTGCCCCCAGCAAGACAACACGCATCTCATCCAGCGCTTCTCTCTCATCAGCGGATGTGGGTATCACACATCCATGCCTGTCTAAAATATGTCCCACGTACAGACAATGGTGCAAGGCTGTATTTCCTCTGGAGTCTGTATGATTGACATCCACGCCTCTGCTTATCAGAAATTTGGTCGCCTGGACTTGTCGTAGATTCCTGGCCATAAGATGCAATACAGTACGCCCATCCTTGTCCTGTTGGTTGATGTCGACACCGTGTGATAGAAGAATATCCATCAGATGGACGTCAATGGGATCGCCAGCTTTGCAATTGGCTGCAAGCTTGTGTAGCACAGTTTGGCCATTGTTGTCCACTACATCTGCTTCCGCTCCGTTCTCCAGCAGGAACTTCACCACTGTATCAAAGTGGTCGCTCCCAGAGCAGCATGCGTGCCCTCTTATTGCATGGTGCAACGCGTTTTCGCCCTGATTGTCCCGCGCATTGATATCACTACCAGCTAGGAGTAGCTTCAGGGTATCGATGATTCGATCTTTGACATGAACGTCAGAAAGCCAGCATTCATCCGAACCTGGGCCCACGGCTGCCCAGTGAAGAGGCAGACGTCCATTACTATCGCGACAGGATAGGGATTCTGTAATATCACTTCCCCAGTGGTCAAGAAGCGTTCGAAGTGCCTTCGTATTCCAATACATGCTGCTAATATGAAGTGAAGTAACACTCCATGGCATTCTCATATCATACCAAGAGTGGGATGAATGGTTCTGCTGGAACTGCTCCTTAGCGTGTATATTGGGCCCTTGGTCAATGAGTCTTTTCACCAACGCAGAGCTGGCTCTAGAGGAGGCTAGACCAAGCACTGTACCAAATGATTGTAGTGGTTTGCTTTCATCACTATCATCTTTGACTGCATTACCACCAGAGAGTATCCTAGACGCCCATTCAACGTCATTGGTGGGGAGTTCAACCGCTTGAGCAGACGCACCGCTATCGAGGAGCAAGCTTATCAATTTCTCGCCACGGGCAATTAAACCGCTCCTCCATTGATCGAGATCAATGGGCGTCTCAGATCCGCGACCTTCCGGAGACAAATACGTCAGAGTCCTTGCAGCCGCCAGCAGCGCTTTATCACGGTCCGATTGATTGAAATCGACGGAATCTGGCGCAGGCTGCATATCTAGGATAAGCTGTGTCGTCTGAAGATGCTGCCCGCTGCATGCTGCGCTCAGCAATGAGTGTTTCCTTCGATGGAGCGGTTTCTTCGTTAAACTAGTCTTGTAGTAGTGATCCACGAGGACACGGAGAACATCAGTGCTCTGCCTCCGCTGCGATACACAGCGGGTCGTAGCAGAAATCATCTTCATTATAAAGATTCAGGCATTCGTAGACAGTGAGATATTGCTTCAGCCTGGGAACGTCATTGAGACGGATTATGCTGTCTAGAAGACCACAGTCCCAGGTCTCGTAGAGTCGAGTGCCATCTGTGTCGTGGAGGGCGGTCTCTTCCGATTCTAGAATTTCGTTCCCCTGGATATGAAAAGTGCTGTATCGCATGGTCCAGAGATTTTTGTGAAGTGAGGCGAGTGTCAAATGAACACAAAGGGAGGAAAGAAAGAGTGAAACCTCTTAGCTTAGGGAAATGTCTCCACTAACGTAATTACCGCCCGAGTGAAACACCCCAAAACACTAGCTTGAAAAGCGAATTCGTCCCACAGAAAAACCACCATCTCGTCTAGATATCAGGCAGGCTTTTCAATCAGATGGTCGCACAAAGCCTCGAGCATGACTGGAGTGATACTACGCAACTCTCGGACGAACTCCTAATATAGACTAGTGTGTCTTGGCGTAAGGGCCAGGAAAGTCAATCGAAGGTATGTATAGATTACTAATCCCCCAGATTTCCAAGCTCCAAGCGGGGTCGGAAGAATCAACGAGCCTCGGTCAACTCGGCTGGTGCAAATACAAATATGTAGCTAGGCCCGGAAGCAGCCCACTTTTTCCTCAATTCACTTTCCCACATAATTGAGTTCAATCAAATCCATACATAATGTCCGCCGAAGAACAAGTCAAGCTCTCCGACTTCTCCAGCATCTTCTCCCTCGAGGGCAAGGTCGCTGTCGTAACAGGCGGTTCCCGGGGACTAGGACTACATGCAGCCTCAGGGTATGTATCTCTCTAGTACCCTGCCAATTATTCCTGACATATTCTAACATATATGAAGCCTCCTCCAAGCCGGCTGCTCCAAAGTCTACATCACATCCCGCAAGAAGGCCGCCTGCGACGAAGCAGTCGCTGCTCTCAATGCCATCCCCAACAAGCGGCCCGGCGCACAAGCCATCTCCGTACCGGCCGACAGCGCAGACATGAAAGAGCTAGACCGACTTGTCGCCGAGGTAGGCAAGACCACAGACCATGTTGACATTCTCTTCGCCAATGCCGGCGCAACATGGGGCGAGAAGTTCGACACCCACCCCGAGAAGATGTTCTCGAAGGTTATGGATTTGAATGTTAAGAGCGTGTTCTACACGATCCAGAAGTATGTTATTTGCTAGCCGGAACTAGGGATGAGACGGATTCTAACATCGGACTAGATTCACCCCGCTCCTCACAGCAAAGGCAACCGTCGCAGATCCATCCCGTGTCATTATCACCGCCTCTGTGGCGGGCATTGGCATTGGCGCGATCGGTGAGCACGCAACGCCGTCTTACTCCGCTTCCAAGGCGGCTGCTATCCATCTCGCGAAGAACCTGGCTGTCGAGCTTGGGCCGCGTCATGTCTTGACTAATGCTATTGCACCGGGATTCTTCCCCTCGAAGATGGCTACTGGGCTTATTGAGGCGAAGGGTGGGATAAAGCATCTGGAGGAGTTCTCGCCGAACGGTCGTCTCGGAAAGCCCGAGGATATTGCTGGTTTGGTGGTCTTCCTCGGGTCTAGGGCTTCGAGTCATTTGAATGGAGCGGTCATTGCGACAGACGGTGGAGCTGTGATCAAGGGGAGACTGTAAATGTTTGATTTGTGGATGTAAAGACGGTATAAATAGGTGCCCAGGTGTTCTGCTTTGATTAGTAAATTTTTGATATCTCACTAGCCAAAAGGAACCGATCAGTTTATGTAGACTTTCGAGACCTCGGGTACTACACCCTTCGCAACGTCTGGGCCGAGGCGGGTGTTCTCCACACTCCCCGCATTAAAAAACGCTTCCGCGCCTCGATGTTTCTCACTACATATCCACCATGGCCTCCCAGGAACCCCGTTATGTGGCAGTTGCTCAGCGCAAGCAAGCCGACCTTGCTGCAGCTATCCCTGCAGAATGGCGCCTGCCCACACACGTTATCCCTGAGGGGATGCTCTCAATCTCCGAGTCGATCACCGTTGGCCCAAAGAATTACGAGCGAGTCGGGGTGATGGATATTCCACGCACATGCGGTATACTTACACCCAAAGAGTTGGAAATAACAGAGAAATACGATGTGCGGAGCCTTGTGGCAGAAATGACAGAGGGTCGATTGAAGGCCGAGGACGTGGTGCGAGGGTTTTGCAAGGTACGCCCACACGCCCACACGCCGATTATCTCCGATCGATGCACTAATAAATCTGGATAATGGCAGAGAGCAGCCATCGCCCAGCAACTCACTCGCTGTCTAACCGAGCCGCTCTTCGACCGCGCCTTGCAACGAGCCCGGGAGCTAGATGATCACCTCCAGCGCACGGGCACCCCGGTAGGCCCCTTACATGGTCTCCCGGTATCGGTGAAGGACACATTTAATATAAAAGGCGTGGACTCAAGCATTGGATTATCCGCCCTGGCGTTCAAGCCTGCAAAAGCGAATGCCCCGCTAGTAGACCTGCTGCAGTCTTTAGGCGCGGTAGTGATCGCCAAGACAAATGTACCACAAACACTCGGGACCTTGGACAGCTGCAACCACCTTTTCGGGCGCACGCTGAACCCTCTCAACCGTAAATGGACAGCCGGCGGCAGCACCGGCGGAGAGGGCGCGTTGCTCGCCATGCGCGGGTCTATGGTCGGATTTGGCACGGATATTGGTGGTAGCATCCGCGTGCCAGCTATGTGCCAGGGTATCTACGGGTTCAAGCCGAGTAGCGGACGCGTGCCATTTGGAGGCCAGCAAAGCGGCCAGATTGAAGGTAAGGGCCGGATAGGGTTGCAAGCAGTGGCTGGTCCGTTGGCTCGCTCTGTTGCGGACATCAACGCCATCATGACGGAGATCGTCCCACGCGCGGAGCTGTTCGGCGAAGACTGCATTCCGGGGTCATGGTCGATACCAGCCATACCGCTTGCTCCCGCTCCTCGGCACAATTTTACTATTGGTGTTCTCAAGACTGATGGTCTGGTCACACCTCTACCCCCGATCACGCGAATTCTGAACGAAGTCGCCAACAGCCTCCGCCGTACCCCCGGCGTCGAGGTCGTTGAGATTCCGCTTCCGCCGGTCCTAGCTAAATGCCAAGCCCTGGCGGGTCGGCTGATGGGCATTGACGATGGGTCTCACATGCTCGACCTGATTGAGAGCATGGACGAAGACCTCATTCCCTGGCTGCAAGGTCGAATGAAGCGCGGTAAGGCCTTGACCGTGGTTCAACTGGCGACGCTGCAGGCTCAGCGTTCTGAGATTGAGAAGGAAATGATGAAGATGTGGACTTCGTCGTCACAGGCTTCGTCTGTCGTCCGACGCGTTGACGCCATAATTTGTCCCGTGGCGCCCCACCCGGTGCCGGAGATGGACCGCTACAATGCCGTGGGATACACCTCGACCTTTGTGTTGCTAGACTATCCGGCTGCCTCGGTTCCTGTCCGCTCATTCACAGAAGCTGATCTGGAGATTGGGCGCGAAATGGAGGCCCCTGTGTTGGGGAGTTGGGACAAGGCTAATCGGCAGCTGTGTAAGTTCCAATATGATATATAGGTGATCTTTCGCTAACTTGCTTTGATTTACAGGGGATGAGAAAACGGTTGACCGTCGAGTGTACCTCGGATCACCTCTCAGTGTGCAGGTTGTCACTCCCAAGCAGCACGATTATCAGCTTTTCCAGGCCATGGAGATTGTTGACCGGGCTGTACAGAGCGGGGGTTCAGCCAGTGCGAAGCTGTAGCCATTGCAATGTGTCATAGAAACACGACAAACTTCTGACGTGATCACATGGGCCCATCCTATTTAGAAAAGTCTTAAGTTGTATTCGTAGGAGGCAAATATACAACATATGAAGAAACGCCAAGAAATAGAAGGATTCGTCGGGGGCGTCGGCTCAATGTTCGCAGTGCGCATTGACCTGATTCGTTGACTTGGAGAAGTCAAGCAGGTCGGCCAATAGAAATCAATTCCATTGGGCCAGAACCACAGAACGGGCGATAAGCAATGCGGCTAACCCCTGACAAGACTAAAGCCAATCTCGCGATGCTCTTAATTATGGCGCCATCGCCCATTTACCGTCTCTGGCCTGGCCGTCCACGATACCATGTTAACGCTCAGGCCAAAAAAAAAAAAAGACGCGAAAAAATAAATGAAAAACAGGGTTCGAATCCACGTGTAATTGGTCTCTCATTTGTTTATAACGTAGAGCTGATCTCGTGCCTATTGTAGACTTGTCTTCTTCCCATCACCTCCATTTCACCCAACATGTCCAAGGACGACAGGAAGGAACCAGGCTACGACCTGGGCAGCACCGAGACTAATGGAGAATATTTCGATACCATCACTGCTCTGGTCGCCGCAGGTACGGATTCAATTGTGCTGGGTTGTGGTTATCGGACTGAGCTGACCTTATCTTTCGTTCAGACCATGAACATGAAATCAAGCTTCGGACCATGACTTGGCAGAAGACGGCCTGCTTGCTTGCCGGTGAGCAGGTCTGCTTGGCCATTATGGCGCAAACTTGGTCTCTCTCGTGAGTAATCGCTCGAATATCTATTCTCAATGAAGCTGACGGTGTTTTCAGCGTCCTCGGATGGGTTCCCGGTATCATTACTATGGTTCTCTGCGGATTCTTCTTCTGGGTGACCTCGATCACGATGCATAAATATATCATGAAGCATCCTCATATCATGGATATCTGTGAGTTACGGTCCGACTATCTGTTTATACTTGCGATGAGAACTAACAGTTTAATTCCCAGGCGATTTTGGATACCATGTATTTGGACAGAGCAAAGTTGCCTACATCTTCTCCGCATTCATGATGCTTGCGAACAATATTCTCCTCATCGGATTCCACGTCTTGACTGGCGCCAAGGTCCTGAATACCCTCTCGGACCACTCATTGTGCACTGCGGTCTTCTCAATAATCGTGACTATCATGGGAATCGTCATGTCCTTCCCCCGAACCTTGCAACATGTCAGCCTCATGTCAATGTTCTCATGTGAGTAGCTGAATCCCCCAGCTCTCAATCGGCCCCAACTAACCATTTCAGCCGCCTGTATGGGTATCGCAGTTATTCTCTTCCTCGTTTACGCCGGTATCGAAAAAGCCCCTCTCTACGGATACAACGGCAGCTACCCGACAGACGGAGCCGTGAGGACCTATGCCTTCCCTCTACCAGGCACCACATGGGTCGCCTGTATGAACGCCGTGATGAACATCACCTTTATCTGGGTGCCGCAAATCCTGTTCCCAACCTTTATCTCAGAGATGGAAAGGCCGCAAGATTTTCCCAAAGCATTGGCCGTTCTCGGCGTGATTTCCGCGATCCTATTCATCGCTCCTTCGGCCATTGGATTCCACTACCTGGGTCAATATTCCACCGCTCCAGCCTTCGGCAGTTTGGGTGTGGTCTCGTACAAGAAATCGTCTTTCGGCTTCGTCATCGTCCCCACCCTGATCATCGGCGTGATCTATGCCAATGTGACTGCGAAATTCCTCTACACGCGCATCCTCGGCAAGTCCCGACACTCGCACAGCCACACTGTGCTTGGATGGACTGTGTGGGTGTTAATCATGGTCGGGATCTGGGTGCTCGGGTTTGTCTTTGCAGAGATCATTCCCAGCATGGGTGATTTCCTTTCCCTCCTCAGCGCGGCCTTTGATTCCTTCTTCGGATTCATTTATTTCGCCGTCGCGTACTGGCAGCTTAATCGGGGATCGCTGTTCAGCGGTCTGGGGAGAACCGCTAACACTCTGCTCAATCTTCTCATCTTGATGATTGGTCTGTTCTTGCTGGGTCCGGGGCTGTATGCAGCCGTTGAGGCCATCATTTCGGACTATTCGGGTTCGGTCGAGCCTGCCTTTACTTGTGCCAATATGGCTATCTAAGGGGAAGTCATTTAATAGCTTTTTGGATCGGATGGGTCATTTGTTGCGATTTTTTTTTATATTTTATGATGACTTCAAAAGAAAAGAAAAGAACTGGTTTATCACCAGCCGGTGAAAATCCAGGTTTCTGTCTATCTTTTATCTGTAGTGTCCCTGGGCGCAACAACCTCCCTCAGTTCCCTATTCCACCCTCCGAAACCCGGGATAAGTATAAATACTGACAATCCTCAACCTCCCTCCAGAATCCCTTCTCCTCGCCGATAAAAGTACTAACATCCTCATATCTACTACTGTTGCAAAGAAACTTCAAGAGAATACATCGAGAGCCGCACTAGGACCCACAACGGAAATTCCGTTAACCGTTAATACCTACCAACCAAGCACCGATCACACAAGCCAGGATATCAATCTCCCTTAACCCTACACATCAAATCCCCCTAACAAGAAGCACCAGCTATACGCTCATATCTCCACTGAACCAAGCCCGCATTAATCAAAATCGGAATCGCCCGATCCTCAATCCACTCCGTACATTTAACCAACGGCCGACGCGGCTCCCCAGGCTCATAAAACACCACCGGATCCCAACTCTTAACCGGCTCCGTCCTCATCGTGTCTTTATTGAACGCCTTCTGCTTCGGCGGCGCGGGAACAGAACTGAGAATAGCGTTCCAGTTCTTCGGGTAGTTGAGAGCTCGCGTATGTCCGATGAGTTCCTTGGAGAAGAAGTTCTCGTCTGTTTCTGGGTCGTTGTATTCTGCGGGCTCGTAGTGCATGCCTGTGACTATGTCGCCCGTGACGTGGTGCTTGGTGCCGCTGCCTGGGCCTTGGGCGTTTGTTTGCACGAAGAGGATGGTGTGGTAACGGGGTGAGGGCATGTCTGGGTCTTGCATTGAGAGGTTTAGTTTTACTTTGTAGACTGGGTAGATCTGGGAGGTTGACATGTTGGTGGGAGTTTGGGGTGGATGGAGATGGGTTGAGGACTGGCTTGTGGTTTGACTGCTGAGATCGTCCTTTCTTTAATACCTTTCTCCCCGCTTTTTTGCTGGCAAGTTGGGTATCACGAAATGCAGCTAGCCGCCCAGGCGGATTGGAAATAGTAATGTATCTCGATATTTAGTATGAGCGCTTAAGTTCTTGTCTGACAATCGATGTTCGTATTTCCAATATGTCCAGTCGCTATCCTTGGTGCATCCCATCATTCTTACCCCTCACTTTCGACAAAAACTCGACTGGTCTATCCCAACAATGACCCAAGGACAATTTGTACAAAAAGCACACTAGTACTGGCTTTGAACATCTCGCTCTGCTCAAAGACGAATACTCACTCAAGATCCCAATCAAAAAAGTCATCTCAACTATATGCTGGCCCGACAGTAGCATTCCCAGAGACAACTTAGGCTTCTCGCTACAGTTCTCCGCACCTATAGAAGGGTTCATTTGTCTTGCTTTTCTTCTAATGGTACCAGATCAGAGAAAACTCGGCCAGCCACGCAAACATCTTTGCCGCAAAATTCGGGGCCATGTCCACATAAGCCGGCTTTGAAGCTGATGGAGAATGAAAGTCAGAAAACGTGTGGTACTTTTCCCTTCCTCGGACAGCTAACTACACTTACCAACGTCCTGTAGCACAAGGCTTGCTAGCACTGCACTCCTGTCCTAGGACTAGCACTTCAAAGACACAATAGTATGCTGAGCCTCAGTAGTTGTTCTCTCAACATTCCCCTGTTAAGAAATATAGAAGAACACTTAGTATCTTATACACCAGAAGTCAATGGCTTGGTATAACTTTGACTCATTGCATTGTGACACAATGGAAAATTGCATCTAAACCGATTCGAGGAGGCTCCGAATCATGCCATTTCAATCAATATGTGCTCTAGTAACTGCGCTAGTAGAGCGTTGTTGTTCACAATCACACTTGTTGTAGCACAAACTTCGAACAGTTCAAATCCCCAATAAAGGGGCAAATTAGCAGCGGGCCAAGCGTCGAGGCTCTACTAGTATATTGTAATTTTCCAGCTGCCTCGGCATATGGTAAGAAAAGTGCATCCGGGCATTTTCAAGCCTCTTTTCTTCAAGCGATCGGGCACTCGTCAATATAGAATTAAGTTCTATTAAAGCAGAGGGTTCGGGCCTTCCCGGAGAGGAAGGGATCAAAAACTATGAAAATGAAGCTAAGTACTTGGCGTCGGTAAAGAGGGTCTCAATTTTGACATGGAATATCCGAGGCGATGCCGCCATCAAGTACTCCGTACCTCGCCTAAGATTAGCTCGGCTCTACAGAATCTTCCGACGTGTTGCTTCGGCTTCAATTTCGAGGAGTGATGGTAATTTTCGCGTGGTGATCATTTCGGCATCTCAGTATCAGAAGGTCTGACTCATTTCTCAATGCCCAATTCCACGTGCCATTGTTCATGCCGACGTTGAATCGTAGCTTCCAACGCCCCCTCCAATATGGGATCTTCAATAATAATATTTCGATAGCCTTCACGGATTAACTCGATACATGTAGCTCCATCTCGTGACCAGCTGCGCTCGTAAAACGCCAGGTCAGCCAGACAGGCTTGGTCGAGCTTTTCAATGGCTCTGGCTCAGTCTTCATCGTATGTGCTGGCATATGAGCTACGATATATGGCCCATCCCCACGGCCAACTCCACCCCAACTAGATTAAAATTCCAAGAAGCCTGGATACAAACTTCCACTCTGGTTTTGCGTGTTGTCGGTTGCGTCGCTCAATAAGGGTTTCTTCGGATGGAAACTCAGGTGAGCGCTATGGTATAGGCCATGACTTGTCATGAGATATACGAGTGGATGGGGATTATAGGGTATGATTTGGCGAAGTTGTGAGCAAATGCATGTAGTTGATTGGAAACTCCAGGTCTTGCATGTTCTTTTTATGTCTCGCTTACCTCGCGCCGGGGCGTCAAGTCCTTCACCACATGGACTGATTTATGTTCTGAAATTATTGCTAAGCTGTAGAATGGTCAAAAAGAAAATAAGAAACTAATCACCCATTGATTTCATGTCCAAAAATAGTGAAGGAGGTAGGGTGTTAATTGCATACGATTGGCCCGACAACATTCTTCACCTCGAATCACGCGCATTCCCAACACCTCCCCTCAAGTCTACTATAAGAATCATTGTTTCCCTGCCCATACTCAAAGAGATGTAACAGATGTCTTTTAAAGAAGCCTGTGCCGTGTCCACTTTTAGCCCGTTACCCGGCCTCCACTCTAGCCCCTTCCAACCAATCTTAGCACTATCATTGTCGAGTTGAGCAAACCACTCAATCGCATCAGTTTTGGCACGTAACTTAAAATGCGGGGAATGCGATGGCGCTCGTGAAACAGTTATATTATAGTTGCATCCGCTATAATTAGTGTTCGTGTTCCTCGTGTTGTTAGTGGCCTCTAGGGGAGTATGAATGCAGGGACACGAACTTACGAGAAAGGATCAAGCAATATCTCAGCTAGTTTGTAATAGATTCCTTGAAATTATTATTTTTGTAAATAATCTTGGAGATCTCACTTGTTTGGGGTCTATCATGCGAATGTCACGGCGATCGTGTTGGATCAGAGGCTGAAATACGAGTGAAGGCTCGTTTCCTCCTGCAAGGGAAATACGAAGAAAACAGAAATAGCATGTAGATTTCTCACAGCATAGCGTGAATGATTTATCTATAAAGGCTTCAATGTTCATCGCAATTCGGATTCCTCTTCTCCAACTCAGCCCTTCTAAACCACAGAGAACAATAACTCTCTATCACAGAACAACAAGCAAGCAATTCATCATGCATTTCATCTCCCTCATTGCCTTCTCCCTCACAACCGCTATAACAGCGGTCAGCGCCTACCCCATCACCGGTGACACCGTCAACTGCCGCTCCGGTCCTGGAACAAGCCATACAGTCGTCAAGACATACAAAAAGGCCCACGATGTCAAAATCACCTGCCAAACCACCGGAGACTCAATCTCCGGCAACAACATCTGGGACAAGACCTCCGACGGCTGCTATGTAGCCGACTACTACGTGAAAACCGGCAGCAACAGCTACGTAACCGCCAAATGCAGCAGCAGTGGCAGCACCAGCAGCAGTGGCAGCACCAGCAGCACCGGCACTGGAAAAGCCATCATCGCTGCAGCCGAGAAGGAGAAAGGCCTCCCATACGTCTGGGGCGGCGGTGGCTGCAAGGGTCCCTCCGGCGGCGGCTTTGACTGCTCCGGTCTGACACAGTATGCTGTCTGCCAGGCTTTGAAGAAGACGATTCCCCGTGTCGCGCAGGACCAGTATAATTCCAGCTTGGGCAAGCGGTATCCTCGTGCGCAGGCTAAAGCCGGTGATCTCTTGTTCTGGGCTACTGGTGGTGATTGCAAGAACAAGGTTGTGCATGTTGGTATCTTTATCAATGATAAGACGATGATTAATGCTGCTCACACTGGTACGCCGGTGCGTGAGCAGGCTATTTGGACTTCTTATGGTGGAGAGAGTATCTGTCCTTATGTTATGAGGTATGTATATCATTCTTGGGTTTTGGGTTGTCATACTAACTGGTGTATAGATTCACTTGAGCTTTGGGTATAGCTGGTTGGCTTGAATTTCCTTTGGAGATTCCGATTGAGAGAGAATTCCTGTGATATTCAGATCTTTGTGTTGGTTGGATTTGTGTGATACTCTAGATAGAATGTTGAAATGACCTTCTATCTTCTTCATCTATTCTTGGTAGCCAAATACCTAAGGTATGTAAGTGACAATTGAAAGGAAGGAACTTATGAGAGATGATATTGGGAAGGTGGACATGTGACATTTACCATTCAAGGAAGGTGCGATGGAACTGTCACAAGTTAGGAAGGCACCGTTTGTTGGTGGTATAAAAGGACCCCCATCCTTCTGACCACCATCTCTCCGTAGCCCCATGAGACAGCGAGGCAGAGGGTCTCGTGGCACCTGCTGCCTAAGCTACCACAGGGACTCATGTATTTAATATTGTCAGAATCTAGGATGAATACTGTCATTTTTCATCCCTGATACAGTTGGGTCACGTGACTGACCAGGCTGGTTTTTCGCCCGAAAAACATCCTTTCATTTTGTTTTGTTTGTTTTGATTATTAAGTTGTCCATAAGATTGTCAGTTATTGGGACTATTGTCATTTTTAGAGAGTTGGAGAATTTATTGAGATTTTACTGCCACATATACACTCGCCTTACCACCGTTTTTCCGTCAAATATGTAACTTCACAAGTGACGGCTCTACCTTAAAAACTTTTTATGTTATAGAAAGTCCTCCCTGTGGATGTAGCAAGTAAATGGATATTGATATCCGCAGATTCTTGGGCCAGTTGAAAAGCCCCAACCCCAAATATACCGGAGATGAAACGTGACACTACTGTTCATAAAATCTCTCTGCGATTACCTGTTGAAGAAGCCAACTTTTTATATCGATGAGATTGCTGCTTTCCTCTGGAATGGTGCAAACATAGATTCAGGCTCCCGGTTCTCTTTAATTATTGCATAGTATGGTCTAGCCATTTTCGACTCGCAGATTGATGATAGAAAGAAAATCGGAATCTCAGATAGGGCGTGTTTTCCGTCAACACTGTTGAATGTCACGTTGTACACTCACGTAACTCGATCAATAGACCGAAAAAGCAGTTCACTCTGTCTTTAAATAGCAGACAATCCTCACAAATTTTACGGCTGGGAGAGGTTATCAGAATACTTGCCCCACGCAAAGTAGCTTCTGGCTCCATTGTTGAAATGCGGTTGAGGCGTCTCTGAAGTGTTTTCTTATCTTCCCAACGCCGTATCTGACCCTCTCGAGCCTTTAATTTCCGGATTTCGGGACGAGTTCCAAGGAGGGCAATCTCATCATCAACAATTGACACTTCACGTTTCAAGCGCTGGACCAGTGCCTCGTTATATTCGCCCCCAAGCAATCGATCGTCTTTGTCAAATAGCTCAAATTCAAGTTGCTTTCTATCATATTGGAGCTGATAGATTCGGGGGATGTTAGGGTATATAGACGCCAGTTCCGATATTTTCAATTTTTCATCTGCGATTTCTTTATCAAACCGGGAGTCGAGCTTCTTGTCCTCTTCTAGAAAAACATGTCGGTCGAGAAAATAAGCGATCAGTTGCTTTTCCGCGTGAGACGCAAAAAACTGTCCCTGGATACCGTGGTCCTTACGAGCATCAACAGCGAGAGTATGACCAACGATGGTAGCTAGTTTCAGGACCCTATCAGTCCAATCCTTGCCGCTTACCCGTGTTGAAGGCCATTGTGAGTGTCCCCAGCCACTCATTGCCGCTATAGATGGGAAAGCAATGCCCCTTTCTAGCAAAGCAATTGTCTTGTAAGATGTAGATATGGGATACTGCCGAATTGGACCATAAAGAGTGACCGATTGGCCAGTAGGTGACCTTCTGAAGGAGTGAGAGGCTGTGTCGGGATATTGTGGTACGAGATCTGCCTTGGTGTGCAAATCTCCCTCGTCAAGGAGGCGCGCAATCTCTCGTCGATCAATATCTCGGTTGACGACATCTTCCTTATATATTGGCTCTCTTGACGGATCGCCCCAGATCCCACCCCCAACCGTGTGCCTTTCTTTGCGGTTCTTATGAGTTGGTTTGGTAAGATCCAGGGCTCGTTGCTTTCTGTTATCACGCAATGATCGATCGGCACCCCGAGAGAGCAGTATCTTTACATTCTCCAGCCTACCCCAAAGGCAGGCTTCCATAAGCGCAGACCGCCCGTTCTTGTTCGTTGCGTTGACTCGAGCGCCAAAGTCAAGGAGCAAGGAGATCATGGATAATGTTTCCTCTCGAGAAGCCATAATGAGACATGTATCTCCGTGATAATCTCGCCCGTGAAGGAAAATGGATTTGTCGACTGATTCTGTAAGGTAATGCCTCACTCTTGATGTTTCACCACAGACACAGCTCGATATAGCGAAAGGTATGCGACGTTGCTCGAAGGGCTCTTCTCCTTCTAGTGGGATGGTGATTATCTCTTTGGAGTCCTCGAAGCTGATCTCACGATTGTTATTCATATTGGACAGTTGATCAGACAAAAATGACTCATATTCGGAATTATGCTGGGCGTCACTGGCTAATGCTTCAAGAGCGTTGATATTGATAAAACGTGCTCTAGCTTTGTCAATCTCATAGGTAACAGGAAATCTGTACCGATATGAAGGTCGAGGAAAGCCACAATGCGGTACACGCAGGGCACTTTCGTAGGATCTAAACCCATGGTGATGGAGCTCCTCGCAATAGGGGCATTTGAGGTAGAGATCGGAATCCGTCCACCAAATAACATCGACGAGAGGATTGGCTTGAGTGAGGGACATGGTCCTCTGATGAAATGGTAATATGGGACGCTGTGGTTAGATAGTCAAAGAAGAGAAATTGTGACTCAGAACTCTGCGGAAGGTTATAACTATGTTGTACATATCATTTTACACTTTGCATTACGAATGACGAAGGAGGCGGAAAAAAATACGAGTCGCCATTTACAGCTCTTTTCAATACGGTCTGGGTCAGGTTGGGCGCGAGCTGGGAGAAAACTCAAGTGCCATTATAAGCATAACTCTATGTACTAAGTTGTAGCATCGTACACAGACTGTGATGATCAGCGAAAGTGCGTGAGTGTAGGCCGGCGCGATCTTGCTATATCACCAGAACTACCGATAGATTCTGTTTCCATGAGAATTACAGTACGGTGACAATGACGGTTGTCATTTTCCGACCTTTATAAAGCGGGGGTAGATGGCCGTAGCCGAAGACGCGCAAGTACGCGTAGCGCGTAGTATGAACGCGTAGGTAGTCTACTCCGTACGAACATAGAATAAGCTTGACTTGGACTTAATTTCCTCAATTCTATTTTTATATGTGTTCTATCTAGGGAATTTAAAATACAAGTTCTCTGTCTGAAGAACTTCAAAATCTTGAAACATCCCGACCAAAGAACTTATTCACTGTCCATCGGAAAGCCACACGCAACTTGTTGCGCCAGCTGATAGACATACTGATGTACGCCATCTTCCAGATGAGCGATGCAGTACGTCCCTTGATACCATCTGGCAGGAATCGCTTCGGACTCCGGTCAGCGTTACGGGGAATCTGCATCAACGCGCGTTCGTCGCCGATGTATGCCATGGTGCCGAGGTCGCGGAAAGAGAACGGCGGGGTTTGACCGAGGTCATTTTTGTTCAAACGCTCAGCGAGCCACTTTGCTTCTTGGTAGGTAGCCTGTGCTGTGGCAGGGGGGCACCGGTCTCTGGCATGGCGTTGTCACCCAATGCGAACACGTCGTGAAGAACGGCTGTTTGGCCTGTTTCGTTTTGCAGCTGTACCCGCAGATGTCCGTCGACGAGAAGGGGTCCCTTTCGGGGGGCTTTCTTGAATTTCCACACTGCGTGTTCGGCGTCCACGGCTTTTTCTGAGGTCTCGATGCTTTGGACTGAGTCTGCGGGGAATGCATCGATTGTGTCAAGCGATTCGGTGACCAATTTTGTCATGGCGTTACCCGTTGCCCAAACACACATGCCAATGCCTTGCTCGCCGTCTTCTTCGGTGTGAAGAGTCAGGCAGCCCTTGGGATCCATGGGGTGGGGCCCAGGTGCGCCAGGGGCACCCCAGCGCAAGCTTTTAACATGGTATGAGGTCTTGATATCAATACCCTCGCCCTTCATGGTCTCCATCGCATAGCGGGAAAGCGACTCGTCGAACATCGAAAGCACCTTGGGTGCAACATCGTACAAAGTGATCTTCGGCAATTCATGGAGACTGGGGTATAGCAACATCATATCGGAGTAGATGAAATCGCGCAGGGATCCCGCAAGCTCGATACCGGTTGGACCGGCTCCGACAATGGCGAAGTTCAGCAGCCATTTTCGCATCTCGGGGGAAGTGGTTGGGAGGACGGCCAGCTCGAAGCATTCTCGCACGCGGCGCTTGACGCGTTTAGCGTCACCGATATCTTTGAAGAACATGGCATTCTCCCGCACACCGGGTGTTCCAAATGTGCGGCTGACGGCGCCTACCGCAATGATAAGCTTATCGTAGGGTACCTCGAACACTTCTCCCTGTTCCCATTGAAGATGTGGCTCCATGGCCGGCTTATTCCTGGTCTCTGGGCCTTGCTCGGTTATTCGGTAATCTTGGGTTGTGCGAGGAGACTCGGTGACACCACTCTTGACGACTGTTGATTCGACTAGGACGGTCTTTCTTTTCAAATCGACTGAACGGACAGCTCCTTGAAAGAAGTCGACTTTGGAGCGCGGATCACGCACGGGCTCGACAATGCTGGAGAAATCGAGGGATCCGCTGGCGGTGTTGGTGAGGAGAGGAGTAAAGACAAAGTATGAGCGAGGTGAAATTATGAGAGGTGCGTATTTCTTTGAAGAAAGCTTCCGCGAGACGTTGTAACCACCCCAGCCAGATCCAAGAATGACAACTCGTTCCCTGCCATCAGACTCCTTAGCCAAGGCGGGCGGCTCAGCATGTGTTGCGAGGCATCTCCTGCTTGGTGTGCCAACTGCCAGGGCAGTGCTAGAAAGGGGGAGCGAACTCCGTACACGTAGAGCCTCGCGGCGAAGAGGAATCATGGTACTCAATGGCCGAATTTGCATGGTAATGCAGAACTAACGCAGTGTCTGTCAGTAGATCGAAGGTATTATGTTCAAAAAACAGATCTTAGCTACTTTGTAACATCTGCGATGGGATTGGTGCTCGTAGTTAAGGAAGGTTTCCTCTTCCGCTGACACATCGATGACTTCACCGTCGGCAGGACCGGAGCGGGCCTGGTCCACTCGGTAGGATCCATATTCTATCGGGTACTAGTGCCGTAGAATGCAGGTGGGAATTGAAAGGCTGCTATTACTGATCCATCTATCAAGTTCGTGGACACCCGGAACCCTTCGGAGCCAGCGGTGATAACGGGCTGCACGTGCCGCCGGAGACGATAGGGAGGTGCCAGTACATGTTGTTCATTCGGCACCGAAAGGTTTGGCGGATGTCTATAAGTCGAGCAAAAACATTCCGAGGGTAACTTTTGAAAAAGAGGAGAATACCGCCGCTATATGAGTTCGCGGTGAGTGTCATATGATTCTATCATATGATGGGGGTTGACCTCGGGAGCTAGGGCTTGGCGGAATCACATGAATTTGATACAAATGTAGTCCCGAGTTATTTAAGGATCACCGAGATTCCACCGGCATAGAGCTTGGACGCTCCCGAGATTCTACCGCGTCGAAACTTCCGTGTCTCCGAGCTTCTACCGGGTTACTCCTTAGAGCTTGGATGCAGATTTGGTTTTCTAGGTTCCGGATTGTTTTCTCGCGTTGTCTCCCCCTTTTGTTCGAGGACTCCCAAGGTTGACAGCAGCCCAACTCATCAGCACTGCGGAGAGGGCCAGCACTACGGAAAGAGGGTCTAGTTCAAGGCTTATCCCGGTCATAACACGTCTGGAAAGCATCCGGGCCAATGTCACGACATTGAAGCGGATCGGTCGGTCCGTTCGCATCAACGGGCATTCCAAGGTTATCATGCCTCCATAGTTTGGCTTCACTTCATAGGCGGTGAGAAAGGCGATGACAATGGCTGACACATCATGCGTGGCGTCGTGTGGCGCAGACATGTATCTGGAGTGGCGCAGCCCTTTCTGAGTCAGAAGCTCGGATTTAGGGGGAGACTACCTAATCGGGATGGTCGTTTTTCTCCGCTGTTCTACCCCATGTATCTTTCTTCGCCCCTCCGAGCTTTAGGTTCCTCGAAGGTTCGGAGATCATCGTTTAATGCATCGTTATCACCGATATATTGCTCCATTGGGACGAATTCTCGGCCCCGAGCTCTGCTGGCGTGCAGCTGGTTAGGCAGCGTTGTACGTATACTTCCAGGGTGGCGGTTTACACGGCTGCCTGAGTGTATAACCAGTTGTATATAAAGATCATGTTGCTTCCGTGCATACCTAATATCAGATCAAGTGTCTTCACTGTTCTTCGCTTTTCTCTCTCGCCTTTTGATATCTTCAACGTATCATTTTCTCGCGCAAGTCACACATCTTACATCAAACTACTACTTCAAGATGGCTTCCATCTACCAACTCAACCAACCTACCAGTCAGTTTTGGGACTTTGTCAACGGCAATCTAGAGGACCATCCTTTCTTTGCTCCTCACGGCCACCGTGGAAACCACGGACGTCGTGGACGTCGTGGATGGGATAACCCTCAGCAGAGCGACAATACCACCCGAGACGCTGAAGCAGGTGAAACCACTGAGCCCAACGCCGACATGGAGAAAGACGAAACGTCAGCATCGGACTCCGACTCCCCAGACAACAACCATCGCTGCGACCACTGCGGAAATGGTAAGGGCAAGTACGGTAGCCGTGGAGGTCCCGGCCACCACGGTCCAGGCCCATTCCGTGGCAGAGGAGGCAAGGGCAGACATGGACATGGCCCTCACGCCGGGCCCTACGGCCACCACGGCGCTCACAGCACCAAGGAATTCTCACGGGACTCTGAAACACCCCAAGCAGTCGGTGAGCTCGCCGACGCCTCTAAAGAGAACATCGAAACCTCGGCATCGGACTCTGACTCTCCTGACAACCACCGCCACCACGGCCACGGCCGCGGCGGAAAATTCAAGAACAAGGGCCATGGAGGTCCCGGTCACCATGGACCAGGTCCCTTCCGCGGCATGGGTGGTAAGGGAAGACACGGCCACGGCCCTCACGCCGGGCCTTATGACTTCCACGGCTACGGTCATCGCTCTCACGCCGGACCTTACGACTTCCACGGTTACGGCCACGGCCCTCACGCAGGGCCTTATGAATTCCACGGTTACGGCCATGGCCACCACCACGGTGCCGGTGCCTTCGGGGGCCCTGGACGCGGTGGAAAGGGCTGGCATGGACATGGATACGGACACGGTCCCCACGCTGGACCATACAGCTTCCCCGGCCCCCACCACAATGGCGGACCCTTCGGTTTCGGGCCCCGTGGACAGGGTCACCCCCACAAAGGGGGCCGCGGCAGACACGGCGGACCTCCACCTCCTTTCGGCGGTCCATTCGACTTCCTGCGCCAGCTCGGTGCAGGACTTGGCTTCCCTATGAATGCGCCTACCGCAGAGGGTGTTGACTTCACGCCCTCCGTTGACGTCTTCGACACCCCCGCCAAGTACATTGTCCATGTCTCACTCCCCGGAGCTAAGAAGAGCGATCTCAGCATTGACTACGACGCTGATGAGTCTGTTCTGCATCTGTCGGGTGTTGTTTATCGCCCCGGTGTCAATGAGGATTTGCACCAGGCTCTTGTTATGGAAGAGCGCGGTCAGCACGTTGGTGTCTTTGAGCGCGAGATCCGCCTTGGGACTCGTGTTGTCCCGGCTTTGATTATTGTTGATGGCATCTCCGCCAAACTGGAGGATGGTGTTTTGAATGTTACTTTGCCGAAAATTGTCCAGGAACCTGAGGTTGGGAAGAAGAAGGTTTTTGTGGAGGATGGTGCCTTGGAGAATGAGAAGGACGCCATGGTCGTCGATGAGAGGACTCTCACTCCGGTGGAGTCTGAAGGAAGCGAAGTTGACGATGGTGAGACCAGAGAGTATGTCAAGGTTCCTGTGCAGTGAGCACAGGTCGAGTTTCTGGGTTTCTGAGTTTCTGTGATTTTGGGTCAGTTGGAGTTGGAGTTATGAATTTTTGATTTCCCTTGTTTAATATTTGAAATTGTTTACTAGTTATGGGATAATGAATCGCTGCTCAAGGTCGAGTGGCATAAACACCAATTTTGCTCTTGCTGTAGGCTCCTGTAGACCAGAGTAAATATTTATCAGTATGTCTAATTTAGAATGAATAAACAGTCCAGATCTAGAGGAATCTAGTTCGGATTCAAGGCTATGGGCTATGGTTGCGATGGTTATTGTCACGCCGAGTGCTGTTTCCTAATATAAAGTCCAACTGTGTACCCCAATTAGCATCAATTAACTAAATTTCTCTCAATATTCAACTCGTCTTATTCCAAGTGATGCATTTGGGCGCGTTCATTGTTAACCCACGCAGTTCGTAAACCTCTCTGTGGCATTCCTTTTATTTCCTTTATCTCTCGCAGACAGCTTGCCGTTCAGATTTCCCTTTGTTGGCCTGCAGGGATGCTTCTTCTGCTTTCTGGTGGATGAGATCTGATGGAGCTATATAGAGAGCTTCATGGCAGTAGCTCGATCATCATCATCCATCCACTTCAATCTTCACATTTCTGGTTGATCATCCTTTTTCCTAGTCTGAAAACTATGTCACCAAGATGTCTATATATATATCTGAGGATACAATACTTCCCTTTCAGCCGCTGTCATCCTCACCATCTTCTCCAGCGCTGCGACCGCTCACTACGATTATCAGCTCATCATCAGCTCATCAAGCCACCATGCTGCCAGCATCGTGACAACCAAAAACCCAACCCGGACTAGGTTGGGCCCGGAGTGAAGTACCAGCATGGTGCTAGATTTCCGCACCCAACGCATTGGGATCGGCAGAATAGGTATGTCACGGTCCTTGTTTTACTCTGTAAAAACACCACTAACTCTCAACTCACACAATCTAGAGCTAGCTTTAAAGATTCCCTAGCACAGTTGACTCTCCGCGCATTTGATTCGGCGATATACCTAAACCCTAAAGACACAGACGGCCCGGTCGACCTCATCGCTACTATTAGCCGCGGCTAGAATAAGACCCCCTACCGCTTCCTTATAAATGAAAACCCCACCGCTTACGCCTTGGTCTACATGCCGAGCACCTGAGCTTGGTGTCAATTAAGAGGACAACTACGCCCCTCGTAAGAGGAGATATGGTCTCTTTTCTCTTACATTGCGCTGGTAAGTGAAGTGAAGCCCCTGTCACCAAAATCGGACTGGGAGCGTTTGCTAACCACATCTCATCTTAGATCAGCTTCATGTCTACAAGAGGCGGGCAGAAAACAGCCCAAACCAGATAAGGGGCAAAATAAGTGCGACGCCGAAGATGAGCCCTTGCCTTCTGGGAAGCGTCCAAAGGATCCTTGCTCGAGTCCATCTGGTGAGCAACCGACAGGTTCTTCCTCGTCGGAAGAAGCTGCACCCGGAGTTTCGGCACGTAGTAAAGCAGCCAGGGATGCGGTATGTTGATCGAAATGATCTGTGATATATAATGCTAACTTTACATCTTTAGGTCTTGGCTCAAGATGGGAATAGATGTGTTCTCTCGAAGTTCGGTTTACATGGGTTACATATATCGCACATTCTTTCGTTCGAGTTGAACAACGGCTCTATGCGTGAAACAGACTCGAACATAACCATGGGTGGCTTCATCGTCCAGTTCATCTTCTTCGGCTTCTTCGTGATGTTTACAAAGAGCTTACACTTCCGCATCTCGCGTCAGTCAATCAATCTCCAGATCGCAGTCAGATCGTGGTGGCCGAAGTGATCCCCGCATTGATGGTTGGGAACTTAAAGAGCGGCTTATACGATACAAACAAAGCCTAGTCCGGAGAGATCTGGATGAATACCCGCGTACGAGCACCAATCGATTGGGATCGGACATGGCAGCAGTCGAAATCGACAAAGATAGAGTACGGCCCGTGAGCTTTTCATGTACATCTTTGATGGATTGTCGGTGATCTCTGATACCTTTGACGAGCATACCGAGCATTTAACCTTTATTCTAGGTGTGCTTGAGAAGCACGGAATCTCCTTGGAACCCAAGAAAGCCTACGTCCCCTTCCCCGAGGTCTCACTTTTGGGCCAGCGGGTAGACGCGTTAGGTATGACTACGCCGGAAGACAAGATCAAGGCCATCGCCGGTCTAGAATTTCCCCGGACGTTACGTCAGCTGGAGACATACCTCGGTATGACCGGCGCTTTGCGTCAATACGTGCCTCACTATGCGAAGAAGTCAGAACCACTCCAGGTCATCGATAGTTTGTGTCACCCGAGGTGATGCATACTAAAATGAACTTCTCATCAAACCGTCTTCAATTCTCATCTGAAATTTGATCATTTTTAACGCTATGTAGAAAACGGGTAATCGTGCCAAGCGCCCAAAACACGTCCCGTGTATTGGTGCGCCCCACTCAACGATAATTTTCACTCAACGATAATTTTATTGAAATAATTCCAGTCAACTCAATATTTACAAGTAACCACCTTGACTATCCATATACCAATTTCCATGATTAGGATTCCTTGCCAACATTGAAGCTTCATGCTCAGCCTCAACTAAATCCCTAGCCTTTTGGGCTTGCTGTTCAGCTTCTAACTTCTTGGCATGTTTCGCCTGGAACCGCTCCAACTTTTTAGAATCGGCCGTTCGCCTATCTACTATCTTCTTATTTGCGTAGGTTGGTGCTAGTACTAAGCCCCGTGTGCCAAGAATCGATCGTCTATTTTTCTTAGCTTCCGCATTTGATCTGGAGATGCCAGCCTTTTTTAATTCTGCTTTAAGAATAGCGACCTCTTAGGATAAAAGTAGATTTGCATCTATACTTCGCCGAATATACTGTCTAGTTACCCGAGATTGGTTGTTAATCTTCTCTAGATCACGGACTAGCTTAGTATTAAGCCGATTGACCCGATTGATTGTATTAGGTAGTGAATTGGTAACTAAGCTTGAGATCTTAGGTAGGGGCGACGGTATAAAGAACTGTAAGGGAGACCCTTTGTTATCGATAGCTTTCTGGCGTAGTGGGCTAAGAATAACCTCTAAATCTAAAGGGTAAATACCCCTAGTTCTAAAAGAAGCTCTAATGATTCTTTAGGTAAAAGTTTAGGTCCGAACTTTTTAAATTATCTAGAAAAAATCCCGCTTTTTACAGGCATTTCTACCCTATATAATAGCCTTATTATTCGCTGTACAAAAATGATACTTAAGTGTTTAGAATGCTTGACTGTCTAGCGGTTGATAGAAATAGGTTATATAGGGTAAAAAGAAGAAGGGGATAATAAAATACTGGTTATAAAATTTAATGAACTTGATTGTTATATAGGAGTGATGGTTATCTATAAGAAGTAGGCGTAGTCTACCCTTCTTAACCTAGGATATTAAGGCTTTATGAAAAGAATAAAGCTATTCGAAAGTAGTATTATTATCAATCCAGCTATTAGGTATAGGTTTAATTCAAAAATCGGGTATTTCAATATTTTTATACCACTCTTCTATATATAAAGAACCCCTCGGTAAAAACCAGGGTAGTATAACCTAACTATCGGTACTTATACATTTAATACTAGTAATTGATTCCTTTTAACCACTAGTCTGATTAGTAAAATTGATATTAGGTATAAGCACCTTTTAGCGTTTTCCTTGGCTAATTTGGTAGCTGGTTTCATCCTAGTTAAAGATCTCGTTTAGTAGAAAGTGATGCTTTTTGAAGAGAAGATCGAGGTTATTAAACCAAAGAAGTAGAGGGCCGTATTACTTACTATCTACCCTCGATTTTTCAGACATTTTTGGAAGCATATAGGGCATTATAGGTAGTAGTCTTTGTATATACCGGTAGACCCAATTTAGGCCTACTATCTAATCGCTTCCAGCGCGGCGTAGAATTGAATTTGCAACCTCTTTAAGAATTGAATTAGGAATTGCTATATTACCAATATAGAGAGTATCAATCCATGTTCTCAATACTTTCTCCTGAATTGGGCTCAGGGTCTTTTTTAGACTAGCAGCAGTGGTTTTAGTCCCGCGCCTGTGAATGCGGGCGCGAAGCCGTTGGTATGGAACCTCGAATTCCCGCGCCAATTGAGCGATATTAGGTTTTTCGGCTTTATGGTAAGCATGAACAGCCTCTAAGGTTCTATCCTCGAGATTTTCAATTTGATCTGCCATGGTGGTAGGGTGTAGGATATTAACAAAGTAGGTGACGAAGACTAAAATTATCGTTGAGTGAAAATTATCGTTGAGTGGGGCGCACCAACACACAACATGTGTGTTGGGCGCTTGGCACGATTATATGCAACTTTTGCCTAATCGAAACAGCAAATGATCACAAAACGACAAACCGTAAGACACAATATCCAATCATTAGATGCCATAAATCATATCATCGTAATCTGGAGTCCATACTAGGCCGCAGATCGTAACTTTTCCGCATAGTACCATTGCTTAATCCACCATATAGATCAGGCCGCCTCGAGGCCCCCGTGCCGCGTGTAGAAACAGGTAGCAGACCACCACCATATTCCACATCGACACTCCTCCTCATGCGCGGTAAACTCATAATTTTGTCCATCTCCAAAGCCTGGAGCGTTTCCTCGCTTCGTTCACTCTTCGCAGAAACCTTCGCAGAAACCTTCGCCCGGTTAGACAGCCAGCGTCGACTTCCCACGCGGAAGAAACCCCCTATATCATCAACCGTGAGAGCAACCCAGACAAGCGGGATGGAGATTGCAAAGCCAATACCAAAGGTATACTTTGCCACATAGCCGAGATTCAAGCTCTCGAATTCTTTCAGATTGATCGTGAAGATGGAGGCGATAAACGACAACGGCAGGAAGACAATAGTGACAATAGTGAAGACCATAATTGTCTTGCTCTGGCGGGTTGTACCGGCAGCCTGATCACGGGCGAAGCGGGCCTCGAACGCATTCGCGTGTTTCTGCTTGAGATCGAGGAGGTCCGTGATGGAGTGGTAGATGCGCTCGGCTTGTTTATCCATGCGGTCAATGTCCTTCAGGTGCATGTCGATCATGCGCTGCTGGTCTTTGAACCGTTTCTTGACTTCAAATTGGGACCGGTGCTGGCCTTGGTAGGTCTCGCAGACGACTTCTTGGAAGTCGAGCAGAACGTTGTTCTGGTGCTCTAGCACTGTCCGGATCATGTTCAGCTCGTCTCGGATGTCCTTTGTCTCCGCTAGGAGATTGGTTTCCTGTCCGATGTCCAGGAGTCGGTCGACGAATAGTGGCTGGCCGTCCTCGTCGCAGTAGTTGCTGCTTTGGTCTTGCTCGTCGGTCCCATTGCAGGGCTTTGGCGGAGAGCTGAAGGAGCCGTTCAGCTTCCGGTGGCTTTTCAGCCACTCTGATGCCTGTCCGGAGGCGTGGTTGAATTGGTTAAAAAGCACGGTTTCTTTGTCCGTGGCTATACCGATGGATGACTCGAACATATCCAGGAACTGGTACTCCTCGTCGCCTAGGCGGTGTCGATCGAAGACTCCCGAGCATCGATTGGTGATTATCATGGCTAGATCATAGACGGATTTGACAGGGTCGCGGGTTTTGGAATTGATATCCTCGATAATCCCATCCAGCACATTAAGCGGGTCATTCTTGGGCTGGTCCCATCTCTGCGGGAAGGCCGTTACAATCAGATTCGTGCCTAGAACCCACATCCACAGTTGATCCACCATGAATATCTTGGGATCTGCCCCCATTCCAGGGCTTTTTGTTTGGTACCGGTACACAACTTGGTCCTGGTCACGGCTCTTGGTATCGATGTTCGGGTAGAAAAACTGGTCGAGTGTTCGGCGGACATGGAGGGAGGTCGTCGAGGATGATAGATGCGCATATATGAGCATTTCGTCTCTCGTGCGCGTTCTCTTTATCCCCTTGGGTACAAAATCCAGCGTTTCCGCTCGGGAGATTGCATCTTGCATCTGTTGTCTGCGTTCCGTGGTCTCGAAATGTAGATACGGCATGAACACGCAGACATTACATGCAGAAACCAGAGGGTGCGGATCTTTGCAAAAGGTTGATGAAGACAGTGATGACCTCTGTTTCTCGCCCTGGCCCGACTTCCCCTTCGTCTCCTGCTTGGGAGTCCCTGGTACGCTACCCGACTTGCCGCGCTTCTGATTGTTTTTGTTCTTTTTTCCATGCCCTTCGTCGTGGAAATAAGAATCTGCCTTTTCAGGCTTGCCGCCTGTTCCTTTTTGCTTGCGGGCAGGGCTATCCATGGCCCTCACCTGCCCATTCTCAGACGCAGGCTCCTCCGGTGTCTCCTCTTCATGTCGCCGCAGCATCGTCCGCGGAGTATTCTGACACAACGGTCGCATAAAGTGCGAGTGAGTTCTTTGGCCCCGATGCTGATAGTTGAAAGACTTCTCCAGCCCCTTGAACCCATCAACATCATGGGCGCCCTCCTCAATAAAAGACTTGGTAAGCAGAGCTTCCACCCACGCCATATTGTTCGCCGGTAAGTGAATCCACCGGAAATCAGTCCCACGACTATCAACCGGCACAGTGGTAACAGCCTGTTTCCTAGGATTCTCCGGATCCCTCCCATAAAGCAGATTAAACACCGACATGCGCTTAACCCGATTCTCATTATGGAAGTTTCCAAAGTCAACAACAGTAGCATCGAACGCCGCACAAGCCTCCTTAACACCATCAGACAGACTGTCGACATTGTTAAACGGCGCCAGCAACAGCACAATATCCTTCCGCTTGAACTGCGCCGCGCGCAGAAACGGGGTACTGCCAAAATTATCCCTAACCCGACGCTTCAGATCAGGCTTCTCAAGAAGACACTGCACGACCTCGCGATGGCCGCCCTGCGCAGCAAGATGCAGCGGCGTAATGCCATTCAAAAGCTGTGCGTTGATATGCGCGCCTTCGCTCAGCAGAATCCGCACAATCGCCTCACACCCCTTATCACAGGCATTATGAAGCGGCGTCCAGCCACCATCACTGGCAGCATTAACCGCCGCCTTGTGTGCAATCAGCAACTGCACGATATCCGCACGGTCATGAGCCGTAGCAACATGCAACGCCGTCTTACCACGCAGCTCCACAGCATCGATCTGCGCCGGTCCCAGCCCCCGCACCTCCCCCTCTTTCTCCCCCTCGCCAGCATTCCTCGTCAACAACATCTCCGCCATCCTCCAATTCCCCGTCGCACAAGCCCAATGCAACGGCGTCCGCCCCAGCTCATCCTGCCCCGCAACCCCATCAATAGCACACTCTGTCCGCAACAACAACCCCACAACCTCCTCCCCCCACCCCCACCGACAAGCCCTATCAGCGGCGAGGTTATGCAGCGCGTTCCGGCGGCGCAGATCGCGCTGGTTCACATCCGCACCACGCATGATAAGCAGGTGCAGGATATCGGCGTGGTTCTTCCACGCGGCGGTCATGAGTGCCGTGCGGCCTTCTTTGTCGGCGGAGTTGGGACAGGCGCCGTGGTCGAGCAGCAGACGGACGATGTCGTAGTGGTCGCGCTCGACGGCGCGGAGGAGGGGTGAGGCGCGGTTGGAGGGGACGTCGGTTTTGGCGCCGTGCGTGAGGAGGTACTCTGTTGCGGCGATGCAGGCTCGTTCGGCGCTGCGCATTAGACCGATGCGGAGGAAGTTGTCGTTTAGTTGGTTGTACTCGTGGGCGAGGGCTATTGTTTTTTTTAGGGAGTCGATGTCGTTGGATTCGGCGGCGCGGAGGAGCCGTGGCTCCAGGCGCTCGTGGCTGTCGCTTGTTATGCTTGAGGCTGGCATTGTGGTAGAGGTGTGAAGTAATGAGGGAGTTGCGATATTAGATTATATATATGGCTGTGTATAGATGTATAGGGTGTCGTTAATCCATTGCTGTCGTTTTTTGTGTGAGTTATTGAGACTCTTCGAGTTTTCCCTCCCCGGTAGGATAAGCGTTTGGGGATGGATGGGGAGGAGAACTTGGAACAAAGCTAGACTTGAATGAATCAAGCTCAAGCGCCAGCAGATGGCCCTTTTCCCGGTCTGGAAAGGATCTGCGGGCATGAAGGTCCTTCCTTTTCTCAGCCCCAATCCTACGGGGGATTTTGTAACCGACGGCGATAATGAGGCTGTGTGGCTGATCCGCTCGTATCGCTTGTTTTAGTGGGTTTGGCCCCAGCATATGCATGTTTCAAGATTTGACTAGTTGGATCCTTTGGGAGAGACGACAGAAATTTCTATAAAAGCAGGTGAATCCAGAGTATGGCAGCCTTGGAAGGCCCAATATAATGTATGTTGTAGGTACGGAGTAGAGCCTGGTAAACATAGAATTAAGAATCTGGTACCTCAAGCCGTAACCATGGATCCGGGACAACTCAATGGCCAAGGAACTACAAATCCAAACTATACACAACCGGTAAATCTCATACAAATTGTACAGACATTAGAATCTATATTTCTATCGGGCACTTTCCAGTCACAAACTACGGGGGATATGGCGGGGAATCCAAGGCGAAAAGAAAAGGGAAAAATTAAAATGACAAGGTGAAAAGAAAAAGAAAAGCCCCCTCCTCCGGAGATGCTGATGCCGATATGCTGATAATTATGATGTGCTTCTCCCATGCATGCCGCCCCCGATGAATTAAAAAGTTCTTGCTTTTTGTTTTCGCTTCCCTGTGCATCGCGCCGATCCCGCCCAGTAGTTTATGTCACAAATGCGCCTATCAACAGAAAAATGAAACGGTCAAGAGTGTGGAAATCAGAGGCACAAAACGAGTTTGGATTCTGAATATGCAGACCGCATCGTAGTGCCATGCAATCTAACCATAGAGAGAAGACGCAAGACAAATGGTATCTAGTGCTTCTTCTTGTCCTTCTCCTTCTTCGGGACTTCCTTGAGAATATCGTCGAAACTCATGTTCGGGTTGAAGCGACTATTCGGACGTGTGGGAGGCTCGATAGGGGCAATTCCTGCCGGGAGGGGCAAGGCTTCCAACCCAGGGTAGAATGAGTGGCGATGCTGCTCGGCCCGTTGGGCAGCGGCAGGCGAGCGCGTTCGTGGAATGGCTGGAGGCGGGGGCGTGAGCCCACCAGGGACCATAGGGTAGGGATCCGAAGAAGAGCCAGCCGATGATTGATGGCCCGGGTAAGGTGATGATATAGAGGACTCCTCATCATCGTAGGTGGCGTCTTCCACCATAGGTGGATCGAA